GCGGGAGGTCTATCCCTCAGTGTGACCAGGAATGGCGTGAGACAGAGCTGCAGTCTGAAGCGCTCTGACTGTTACCGCTCACTAGGCATCACTCATCTCAGGCAGGTCATTTGCTCTGTTTCTGCAACAGCTTCCTTCCCCAGGCAGGGAGCAAACACGGCTTCTTGGCAGCAAGCTGACTTTGCAGTAGCTGTGGGCACACCTGCCATGTGCTTGGGGAAAGGAATCGAATTGGCTCTCAGCTTCCTTCTACAAGGACGAGTTTCCACTGCTTAAAATGTTGCCTCATCATCTGCCTCTGAATCGGATCTGATGATCTGAACAAAATTCTTGATTGTCGGCATCAAGGGAACATTCTAGCTTTAGGAAGACCAGATCTATGGAGCCTGTGTACTCCAGGCCTCTCTGGCCGGCAGTGGTACCGTCAGTGGAAACCACTTTGGTCTCTAATAGGGCCATGACTGCCTGACAGTCTGTTCCTCTCGTCATCATCGACTGCAGCAGGAACTTCTGTCTAATTCTAATTTTATCTCTGGCGACTTCTAGGTCAGGCGGGGAAACGGAAAGAGCGAGTTGGTATCCTTGTAACTCGCCATGCTTGAAAGGGGAAGCTGCGCCTCTCCGAGTAGCATCCTGCCTCGCCCATCTTTGCCTTTTCTTTCTACAGCTCTTTAATTATATGTTACCCCTCTCTGACCTTCTGCAGTTTCCCCCACATTCTTGGCAAATTGTGGACTTTGAGTAACAAAAATGTGCCAATTAAATGGGTCAGCAGTTTCATGGTGTGGTAATTTCACAGCTAGCTTGGTTCACAACCCGTTTTCTCGTAAGCATGATATAAAATAAACCAAGAGACCTACTGAGCCCCAGAATGTGCCACAGCTCCTCACTGGATGCTGGAGTTGGACAAAACTAGCTCAAACCAAGACCAATAGTCAAGGAACAGAGGATCAGAGGATCCAAAATTCTTTTCTGTTGTGCTCTGAGGGATAGGTCTCTCTACTCGGGTCACAAATGGATTTGGGCAAGTGTCCCAAAAAAGACCCCTCACCTAAGCTTGAAAATCTCTCTTTGAACTGTTCTGGCATGACCATGCTGTCCTGGGAACTGACCCCAGTGTATCTGGAGACAGGAAGTCTGCCGCTTCTGTGGAAGCATGGAGAGTGTGTGGGTAGATGTTGTAGAATCCAGCAGCCCACTCCAACTAGAGTAGCATGTGATGCGTTGAAGTCTCGGTCTCTTGCTACTGGGAAGTGGTAGCTGTGAGAGGTCATGTGGGAAGCCCTTAGATGGTTGGATACTGTAACATGAAATCCGGGCTTGTTTGGGTTTCTGTCCTGCTGGGTCCCCCAAGCGGTTAATCACAGAGAAAATCACACAGAGGTCTCCATAAGATATAAAACTGATTGGCCCATTAGCTCAGGCTACTTATTAGCTATTGTAGCTTATATTAACCCATTATTTTTATCTATGTTAGCCACATGGCTCAGTACCTTTCTCAGCGGGGAAGCTCACATCTTGCTTCTTCTGTGATCTGGGAAGAACTGTGGAGGGAGCTTCCTGCTTCCCAGAATACTCCTGTTCTCATTGCCCCGCCTCTACTTCCTGTCTGGTTGACCCACCTATACTTCTTGCCTGACCAATCAACCTTTATTTAAAACATGATTGACAGAATGCAGACAATTCTCCTGCACCAGGGCACAAGCTGTTGAAAGTTTTTGTGGGGCCTCCTTCCCTTCCCTCCTTTGCTTTCTGGCCCTGAGGCCTTTCTTCTTTACACACCTTAACCATGCAGTGCTGTCCTCACTGCAGGCCTGGGTAGCAGAGCTAGTCAGTGGCGCACCAAGACCTCCAGAACTGTGAGCCTATGTAAACTCTGTGTGTGTGTGTGTGTGTGTGGTATTTGCATGAGTATGCATTCACTGGTACATGTTTATGTACATGTCTCCGTGTGTGCACAGACATGTGAGGAGGCCAAAGGACAGCATCAAGTATCTGCCTCTCACCCTCCACCTTTGGAGACCAGGTCTCTCACTGAACCTAGAGCCCATCAACTGGCTGGCCAGGGATCCCTCCTCCTGCCTCTCAGTATCGGGGTTACAAAGGATGTACCTCCAAGCTCAGCTTTTACATGGCTATTGGGGATTGAACTCAGGTCCTCTTCATTACCCAGCAAGCCTTTAACCCACTGAGCTATTTTCCTACCATCTATCTGTGCCATGTGTAAGTTAATTATCTCAGATGTTTTGTTATGCTGATACATATATTACATATTAATTTACTATTGATACCATACTGTAGCAGAACCCCGTGGCTTAGATAATGTGTAATGTAATTTTTTCCCCTCACAGTCTAGAGGTTACAAAGACCAAGACCGAGGTGCCAACCCTCATGAGGGTTATCTTCCTGGCTTGCAGACATTCCCCTGTTGATGGCCACAAGAGCTTTATTTGGTACATGTGAAGAGAGAGGTGGAGGGAGGCAGAGGGAGATCCCCCTCCTCCTAAGGGCCATTCACCATAATAGGCAGAAGCGAGCGAGGAAGGCTAATGTCTAGGCGTAAAGGAAAGCAGAGGACATTCTAATGGCTGAACATACAGATGACTCAGTCCAGCCCTGCCACCTCCTGACCCTTGAACTATATAGTGAACTCAGAACATGTCTTGCTGGAAATTTCAACGCAACCCGAAGAGGAGAATTTGGAGGTGAAGGAATGGAATTGGAGTTTGAACTGTCAAGCAGGAAGTGGTGATAGGAGTTGTAATGAGATGTTCACTAGAGAAATGGCCCTGAGATCTAACACTGAAATGGCTTGAGACCATGGTGTCTATCTGGTCATGATAGTCCTGCCCTCATAGAGGCTGTTGGGGATGTTTGGGTCTTGGAGCTTGAAGTCAAGTTCTAGAGATCTGTTGAAGAATTAAACTCAGATGCCCAGAGAGATAGAAGCCAAGGGTCTCTCCAGCATCGGAGAGAGAATATCAGGAAAAGGATTCTGGACAACACACGGAGGTTGTGGTTAATTGTCAGTGCTGACTGAAAGATTCATGTGCATAGACTAAAGCCTGTTGGGTGTAAGGTCTGGTTCTGCCGGCTGCGGTCTGTGACTGTAGTGGTTTGAATGAGAATGACCTCCACGGGCTCATATGTTTGATTGCTTAGCCATCACTTGGTAGAGCATTTGGGAAGGAGTAGGAGGTGTGTCATTGAGAGTGGGCTCTCATGATTTAAAAGCCCACACCAGGCCCAGTCTCTCTCTCTCTCTCTCTCTTTCTCTCTCTCTCTCTCTTCCCCCCCGCTGTCTGTGAATCAGGATGGAAAACTCTCAGCTGAATTGCTCCAGCACCATGCCTGTCTGGTTCCCACCATGATGATCATAGACTAACCCTCTAAATCTGAAAGCAAGCTCCCAATTAAATGCTTTCTTTTGTTAAGAGTTGCTTTGGTCCTGTCTATTCACAACATCAGAACAGTAGCTAAGACAGTGACCAAGCAGACTTTGTAGCTGCGTTAGTAGCATGGTCCTCACAGGTCTGGTTGGCCCTTGTGGAGTTCCTGGGGGTAAAGCATCCAAGACTTGCAGCTGGGTCGTTGGCTGCCTGACCTAATCCCGCAGCGGCAGGTGTGTGAGGTCCATCTTTCCAGGATTTCATGTCCGAAGAGCTTATTTATGATAAGACCTCCTGAATAATTAATTGTCTTGATCAACAAGCCAGAGCCTCCTTCCCTGGGTCTTTTTAGATTGTGGGGTGGGCTGGCGAGGGATGAGATTTAGGTGTGAGTGGCCAGGCAGGAGTAGCAGGGTTTTGGAAAGTTGAGCTTGTAAGAGGAACACCAGGCCTGGGAGATGATGGCTTCAGATGCATTTGGAATGTGCCGAGTGGGAGAACAAGAGGTACCAGGAACAGAATTCACAGATGCTGAGATGCCTAGCAGACAACTCTGGGCTGTGGAGGTTTCTTAGGGTGCGTAATAGCTAGTTTCCCATGTGGTTTCCTAAAACCTTGGTAACATGCAATCAGGGATGAGGACTCTAAGAGGATGCTGAGGAGAGCAGCTTGGACAATGGGAAGAACACGAGTGATGGAGAGCTGCGGAGCCTGGAGGGGCGGGATCTCTTCGGAGGGTAGTCCTTTGATGGGCATCGTGGAGCAGCACCTTGTAGCATTTGGTGACCTCTCTGTGACCTTGAGAAGCGGAGTGTCTATTAAGTTGTGGAGCCTGAATACAGATGTTAGATGGGAAGTAGCTTAGTCTCCATAGTGGCTGGTTATTCCTGGACCCAAGGAGACCAAGAATATGTAAATCAAGCCAGTGTCTTCCCTGCCGAGGGCAGACTTTAGGAAAAAGGGGGCCTGGAGCTAGACAAATGTCATGATTTGAGCAGTGGTTTTCACAGGTACAAACACACAGTGCATCCGTGTGATAAAGATGACAATGGGAGGGGAGAAGCAGTGGTGACAACAGGATCCAGGGCAAGAATAAAGGCAGGGCTTTGTCAGGAAAGGGGTGCGCTGCTGTGAGCCGGTGTCTAGAAAGTTCCAGAGCAGTCTAAGGAGCTATTCCTTATTATCAAGATGGGAAACTTCGCTGGGAATACAGACTGGAGGGAAGGTTGTATGGTGGGCTGCCACCTCACTTCAGAGTGGCCTTCACTCCAGGGGTGTCCAAGGGTGGCCTCTCTGTGATGTTATAGGACTCAGCCAAATAAGTTAAAGGACTGGGGAGCACTGAGCAGCTTCATGGAGCATCTGTAAACCCGACACTGACATGCTGTGCAATGCTGCACATGAAGCAATCTGCTCTGTAGCGCGTGGGTTTCTCGACCAGCCAGGTCAGTGTGGCCACAGGCTGTCATCATCCGGAGTGGAGACCCAGCTCGTGAAAACACCACTCTTGTGCTGATTTTCACATGCCCTTTTATGAGTGGAACAGGTTGAAGTGAAGCTAGTCTGAGAGGTTGCCAAATATCTCACCTCCCTCTGCTCGCCTTCCTTCCAGGTGCTGTTGTCTGGACTCATTGGCGTCGTCTCCTGGAAGAGACCTCTCTCGCTTGTGGTAAGTGGCACCTGGAGCTCCGGGTGGCCTTGGACAATGCTTTGCCTGCGGAGGAGCGAGTGTGGCAGAAGGAGCGGCAGCCAGCGTTCAGCTATTGGCAGGAGCTGGCGCGCAGTGCTTGTTATGTGCTGGTGGCAGACTTTTGTACCTAGCGTCTGCTTGCGTGCTGATGGGCTTTCAAGAACTGGCTGTGCATTGGCACGCTGTGCTTCCCAGCATGCCCCCTGAGTGGTTCCTACGACTGTCCTATCACATCCTTTATCTGCTGGCTTTGATGACATCCCTCGAGGATATTCTGAGAACAAAGATATTTTGAAAGTCTGGATGCCAACGCTTTTTCCAGCCACTAAGATCTGTTTATGTGCTTATGAGATATGTGCATGTGCAAATACTCACACCGGAGTGTACTGTCAGCATATATTCTACCAGAGTTCAAGATATGTTAGTTTGGGAGAACGTTAGAGATTGCATGGATAAAACATTTTTTTTTTTTCGTGAGCGGAATCATTACTGGGCAGGGCGAGGAGGCGTAGACCACTCCAGGGGTGGGAAAGGCTGATGGTCTTTCCCTCTGAGAAGTACCCCAAGCATCTCTGTGTGTATTGATCTGCAGCCTGGTCTTCTCGGTGTATGCATTAATATATTGATGTGTCTGTGTCAGAGCCTTGATGGGCACTGAACAAGGCAGTGTGGTTATGTCCGCCTTTTGTATTAATCAATTATTTAAAATCTTGTTTTAAGTGATAAGGCTGGGAGATAATGATATGTACTAAATATTAATGGAAATAGAAAATAAAAAGGAAATGTGTTTGTGGAAGATACTTCCTTCATGAATGTGACTGTGATATCCTGAAATGGTGTTGGGGGAGAATTCAGTTGAACTTCCTCTGGTGTAGTTCGGTACACAGAAGAGATTTCCTTAAATGTTTTAATATAGAACATTTCAAATGTGCAGGAAAGTGGAGGGAAAGGCTGGCATAGTGAATCCCGGTCCCCTCTCCATCCAGCTTCAAGAACAACAACAAAACACATCTGGTCTTCCTTTTTCCTTTCGTATGCTCTACATACCAACCCCTTCTTCTTTTTCCTGGATGGATGACCTTATGGCAACTCCATCATGGGGACCAAGAAGCTGGCTCTGTGTAGGATGGGTTGGCAGTGCACACACTGGCTGGGGACCAGCCATAACTTCTGAGCTGTCCTTAGCAATGAAGAGACAGTCTGTTCCATTCCTCCACAGACCCCCACAGGATAGACAGATGAAGACCTTGTATGCCAGTCGCCTAACAAAAGAAAACGATGCTCCTTAGGACGGATGTAGAAACATACATCTTTAGTCACCCAGCCACCCCCTTCCTCCACTTCTGTCCTAGCTCCTTGATGGAGATCCTCGCAGGGTGGCCAGGATGCAGGTGCCGTAGAAATACCTTATGGACGTGGCCCAGATGTATCCTGGGAAAGCTGGAGAGGCTTGTGGAGCTCACACAGGGAGGAGGGGACGGCAGCAGCTGGGCCTGTGGAGGCAGTGTTCCAAGAGCTGGTTCTCGGGGCCTGCTGGGTGATTAGTGTAGGACCAGCTGCTCTCTGGAAGGTGCTCACATTCACCTTGCCTTGATTGATCTGCTCCCAGGGCCCAGCTGGCGGATGAAGGGCTTCGCTAGGGAAATGCTAGCCACTGTGCCAAACCCCAGATTTTTAGTGGCTCTGTGCAGTGCTGATTTACTCCCATTGGCTCTCCAGGGCAGATGCTGCCCCCGACAGATACTTTCTCCACAGAAGGTGTCAGAAAGATTGTAGAGCTTAACGTTTGCAGTCCTCGTGTTCCTTATGCCTGAGGAGTCTCTGGGATTCATGGGAGGTGGGATTGGGTCTCCTTGGCCTAACAGTTACGCACAGTGTGTGTACTTCTCACGGCAGGAACTCATCACCAGACCATTTCCTGTGACATCGAAGGCTTGCAGATGCTGCCTGTCTGGACAGACACTTCCCAGAGGCAGCCACACACTGTGGAGCAGGGAAAGTTTGGGTGGGGAGTTCTTTATCTCTCCCCTAAGAATGTTCTTGTGTCTGTGCAGAACCCATGAATACAGAGACCCAACTCTACATACATATATATATATATATATATATACATATACACACACACACACACACACACACACACACACACACACACACACACACACACATATATATATATATATATATATATATATATATATATATATATATATA